TTTTGCATTTTACATTGAAATGGGGAGGGGAGGGAAAGGGGGTGGGAAATGTCCTGTTTTCGTAGGGTGAAGTGTGAATATGGTATCAATCCAAGGACACCGTTACTGAAACCATACTGTCTGTGAAATGTTTTCTTCATTCTAGCAAAGTTATTTCTTCTTTTGTGAGGAGAAATCCCCCTGTTTTATTCTATAAAATAAATATCCTTTTTAATATCAAATTTACTTTTAACATTTATCAAACCTAATTATGCATAATGTAATCTTTTCTATCCAGAGGTCTCACCACACTCTGCTTCTGCATGACAACAAAAATCACCCCTTCTCATTCTCTCATTCAGCTTCATTTCTTCTTTTTCACATATTTACATTTCAAAAGTTCCCACTAGCTTTGTCTTCTTTTCTTTCTATTTCCATTCCCATCTCCCTTTCTCATCCCTAGCACAAATCCAACTCCCCTCTGTGCACAAACTCTTCTGTGCATTCTAAGGATACTATTACTTTGCAGCCATAGTTCCCCACTCTGCCTTCCACACCTGCTTCCTTTCCCCATGCCTTCTGCCATGACACTCCTTTCCTGCCCCCTTCATTCTCTGCTTATTCTGACTAAGGCAAGTGTATTCCATCAACAGGAAAATAACAGGAAAAAAAAAAAAAGTCTTCAGAGGGAGAAGTTAATCACATTTTGTTTAAATGTCTGCATTAAGCCATGATGAATTTTGCATTAGAGACAGTTATTTCCATTGACTAGGAAGTCCAGCTTTCTGGCTTTTGACAAAACAGTGTGGAGCACTCAAGTAAAGAGAGGATAATTCCACTCTGGACATCCAGAGTTCTAAAGTTCTAGTAACAACTTCTCGGCTTTTCAGTAATTTCACTCCCAGTTTTGGGAGTCAATGGCCTGCAACCATTGCAAGATGTTCAACTAGATCTTCCTTCAGATCTTGGGTAGGACTAAACCATGATGTTTCTCTTATTTTATTTTTTTTTCTTCCTTTCTCTACATAGTGCCTCTGACATACGACAACATCAAGCTGTCATTACCTTGCATCTTTCATACTGTCCAGTCTCAGTAAATTATATCCTATCCTATTTGTTCAGAGTGAAGCCATAAAACAAAGTTTCCTCATTTTTCATGTTTGCTTAGCTCATTATAGCTGTTCTTTGAGATATGTATATTTTACACCAAATGTAAGTGGCATGTTGAGGATCTTGAAAGTGAAGACAGCTCCTATCACCATACCTAGTAACTTTAATTTATTAAGATGCCAGCCTCGCCGACTCAAGAAACTGTCAAATAATCATCTGCATATCTTGTTTGTTTTCTGTTTCTCAAGTGGCCTGAAATGGCCAGGGGATGTAGCAAGGCACTTGTGAGTATCCATTAAATAATCTCCTTCAGGGCCCACCTTAAATTTTTTTATCTATTTTTTTATACATTGGCCTTGGTTAGAGAGCTAGTGTGCACGTGAGCAATAGTGTCTCACTGCTTCATCCCAACAGCAGAGGTGCTACATCTACCTTGGCAAAACGCTCTGCTGTGCAGTGACACTTATGTTGAATCTGGTTGAATTAACTCAGAGAGTGGAAACACTGTAATCAGCTAATAGGTCTTCTAAAAAATGGTTGAGAAGCAGAGCTGAATTACTTAAAATGAGGGTGATGTTTTTACATCTACCTGGTACCAATGGTATTTCTGACACAACACCATGCCAGGCAAACCTACACGGGGCTTCTACGGTCTTTTGATGTTGTTGTTGTTGTTGTGGTTTTTTTGTGTGTGGGTTTTGGTTTTATTTTTATTTTGGGGGTTTTTTTTGTTTATACCTATTTCAGTTTAGATGCTACAACACTAGCCCTTATCCTTACTATGTATCTTTGCAAATATTTCCTCATGCAGGAGGAAAAAGTGTCTGGCTGAACCTGCAGACAGCCTGCTGCAGATGTGGTATCTCCCTCTTATGCCCTGAATGCCAGAGATTCAGTAACAACCTTTCTGTTTTTCAGGCTACAGACATTAACATTTTATTTTATACTAGAAAATGTTCAGTTATGGCCATGTGAAAACTAAGCTACAGGACAAGCTCTCTAGCAGCTTTTAAAAATCCTATAATGTGTGATACCTGAGAGAGAAGTACTATGAACTCTGTCAGGTTTTCCAGGCTATGAATGAAATCTGCATTTTTGCAATTAAGAAAAACAGCTTGCACTATGTGTCTGGCAGTAATGGCTCCATCCCAGGGCATCATGGATGCAGTTAAAGTCACATTTACAGACCAAATTGGCAATTCCAGCCCCATGCTGCTTCTGCATTTCTCTCGAACTTTCCCTTCCAAAATTAGACCAATATTAAGATCAGAGATGCAGCGGTAAAGCTGCACTTTTCCTCAGGTCTTCCCCTCCTCTTCCCCTAATGGCTCATAAAAGGTGTCAGGTTTGGTTTTTTTTTTTGTTTGTTTTGTTTTGTTTTGTTTTTGGTTTTTGTTTTGTTTGTTTGTTTTGTTGGGGCATTTTTTGAGGCAATGCATACCCAGAATGAAGAAATTATTAGACTTTGGAAGGGGATTTTGCTAATGCAATATCAAACAGAACAAAATTTTCACAGCAGGCTTAACACAATTCTGATTTTTTTCTCTGAAGGAATCAAGAATTAAACCTGCCCCTACTCAGCCAGAAGAGATTCTGCATTGTGACAGACACTGTGATTTAAAACCCAGAAATAGTGGGCATTATTTAAAGAATATAATTTCCAGTAGCAGTGTTTGTTTTAAGTCACTGTTTAACTGCTCAGTAAATTACTTTTTATAAATTTGCTAACTGGACTATTTACAGAATAAGAATGCCTGTGTGACTAATTAAAAATGTGAATATTTTGGACTGTATTTTAAAGTATTTTTCCATATTCATAGATGAAAAATTAAGCCAGAGCTTTAATGAAAACTTCTGTCCAAACTGGCTACTGTGGGTGGGCACATGACTGTAAAATAAAACAATGGAAAGTTTCAGCCATGACATCTGTTGTAGATGTTACTGGGAACCCAATAAAATCAAGCAAGACAGCAGTTCAGTTATCTGAATAAGCAGTGGGCAAAGACAGACAGTTCAAGAGCACATTCTCAAAGCAATGGAGTAGAGATTTTTTGAGATGTTTGTCTTTTCTGTTCCCTGAAATTATTATTCAGCCCACACAACCAGCAGAGTATCTTTGGGAAACGGAGCCCCACTTAGAGTAACATCCCAACATGTGCAAGACATTTTGTTCGTCAGGCTCTACAGGAACCTTTCAAGACAAATAGGGAGCCAGCTATGGGTGGTCTTCAGAATTTGAAGAGGAATGTGTTAGAGTAACACAGTCCTGGAAAACATACCTGTAAGGGTTAACATCTGTATTTACATCGGTACTATAGGTTCAGCATGTACATGTGACAGTCACGTACCAACTACATATGCTGAAGAGCAGTAAGTATAGCATGTTGTAAAAACATATGCCTCCTTCTTATTTCAAACAGCCAGCACATCAAGTTCAGTGTCAATCTGCATTTTTCTCAAACAAATTCAGAAAGAAGAAACTAAAGATATTTCCAGCCAAAAAACATGCTAGCAGAACCTTCCTATTACTCCACCAATTCTTACAAATTTTAGGTAGCCCAAGGTAAGAAATATTCTTTGCCAATACAATAGTAATGAGTAAAAAGAAGTGGACTGTAAGCATCAAAAGTTGTAACACAATGCGAACCACACTTGCCAGCTGTGCTTATTCCCCTTTAAAGTGTAATTCTTCATGTCACATCATGGAACAAATCTAAATCTGGGTACCTACTGTAGAGGAGTGTCATTAAAATATAAAATTATGAGAAATGCAGCACAGAGTGGATTTCTGCAACTCATAAGAAAAATCTCTCTGACCTTCATAAGGAAAAAAAAATAATCCATATTTTAAGACTTAAGCTTGAAGAGTCATGCCAAAGTTATTTCACATATCTGCCCTCGGTTGTTGCAGAAGATGCACTTTACAACTACTCTGCTAAAATCAATATTGTTGACCTTTCAGACTCTGAACCCTGTCTCATCAAAGAAGCAGCCTTCTGCTTATTTTTTTTTAAATTGAACTGCTTTATATGGATGCTGTCCATAATCCGTGAAGTTACCGATTAATGTTTATAGTCCTGATACAGTTGTATATAAAACGCCAGCATGATGATTTCACAGTGAGGTATCTGCTGCACTAGTAGCAGCCTCTATAGGATTGAAGAAAATCTGAAACATTTGTGCTAGTGTTAATCCCAGATTGTAGAGTAAAAATAACTACCTCAGTCTGGACCATTTAACAAACCACATTTTCCAACTAAAACAACAATGTCTGCATTTGTTAGGTTTTAACACCCATTCTAGGGACCTTATACAAAATAAACATGAGGCCAGGTAACCTAAGGACAAAGTAAAATTTGTGGGACAAAGATTCCAAAGGAAATAGTTTGATTTGAAAATGTGAAAAGTGCTTTTTCTATTGCTCAAGTGCAGTTATATTCAAGTTTTCAGCAGCATCCCAGTAAAGCACAAAACTGACCAGCAGTTAACTTTAATACAGGACAGCTGCAGTGCTAATCAGCTCCCGGTGCTAATAAACAGCCTCAGTCACTTCCATGAAACCCCACCGGCTCCTGATTTATATGCCTTTGCAGCAAAGCCTCTGACCCAATTCCTAAAGCCGAAATAAAATATGGTGTGTGCATCAAACTGAAATCTCCCTGGAGTCACTGAGCAACTCCATGATTCAGTCAAAGATTTCAGGATTCCTGTGTGAATAACACCAGACTGAGGAGCTGGTAACAGAGACGTGCTTGCACATATGCCACTGTCATTAGATCACCCATTTGTTTGTATACAGATCTCAGACTTCCAAGCTTAGGCTAATTTTAGCTGGACTCAGATGATCCTGCCAGACTCACTATCCCTCGCTTTGCTAATTATTGCTCAGCACTCTGCTCCAGCTGACTTACCTTCTTCACTGTCTGTGAATTACTGCCAGGGAGGAAGCAGCGAGTGCCGCTTGGGGGGACCTCCTTGTATCTTCCTTGCTGTGTTTTAGTCAGTTTGCTGGGTGCAATCCCATTAACGACTGCCGAAAGGATGCTGCTGCTCATGAGAGGAGTCAGGGTCTGGCAGAAGAGACAGATGGCCACCACTAAGGCCAGAAGCAAGGGACGGGGGCGACAAAGCCTGCGGCACCTGGGGACTTGCCCCCAAACCATGGCCTCTTGCCGTCCTCACTTCACCCTTTGCCACATTGCAGATGCAGTCCAAGTAGCCACGTCTTGCCAGGGTAAAAAAAGTCGAAGGCACCCTTTACCCAAAACTAGTGAGAGTTTTCCCCATTTCTGCTGCTGAGACCTTTCCTGGTATCTGACAAGAAGTCACGGGTTCCAGAGAAGCAGAGGCTTGGGAAGTACCCTCCCATAGGGGTACGGGAACAATCTGTGAAGAAACAACAAGTGAGCAGCAACAAACAGCAGCTTGCCATGGGGTGTTCTGCAAAGAGCTGTAGGGAGATCTTCCACACCGCACTCTTGGGAGAACAGACCTGCCAGCAGACAGGTGAGGAGCAGAAATCTTCACCCCCTTTGCAGAAGGAACTATTCAGCCAGACAATAGTATCTGAGAAAGCAAGAGGTTAAAGCTTAACAAGTCCTGTCCACAGCTGAAAAGAGTACGAGAGTGTACCAACTTTGTGAACAATCGTTTTCTGTTTTTTTTCTCTTGCATTCTCAATTCCCACTTTGTTTTTACAGTTTCCTTCATTCCAGTTCTTTTAAATTGCCTCCTTCCTGTCAGCATGCACAGCTTTCTCTCTAAAAGTGATCATTTATCTGAAAACTGACAGACTATGAAGACTTCAGTTTGCATTTGTTTTGTCCAGATTGCGAGTTCAAAGTTAGGTTTACTTACTCGGTTCTTATCCTGTTAGAAGTTTTCCGTTCTCCTCTAATGGGCTGCTGATTAAAACCACTTGGAACAACCCTGGCTCATGATCCCAGTTCGTCTCACACACTCAGAAGGCAGGCACACGCACATACACACACCATCTGAAGCCAGTTGGACCACAGATTTCATATAAATAAAGACTGGACGGCTCAGAGGGTGGGGCTAAACTAGCTCCGCTGTGAGCAGGCACAGGGCTTAGAGGCACAGACAGAGATCTGGATGAGGAACAAGAGGTGTCCTTGCTCACACTGCATACCTCAAAGCCACCATCACTGCAATTTTTAGAAAACTGCTGTTACAGCAATCAGTCTAATTGAAACAATACAAATATCTTGCAGGAGGTAGAAATCTGAGCAGCATCTGCAATGTTTTAATCCATATTAACAAAAATGTTGTAAAAAGAAGCTAATTTACTTGAATGTAAGCGTCACTGACAAAGCAGTTGTCAGTAATTTTCCATAGTAGATATAATATCTCACAGCAGTATATAAATAAAACTTCTTACTGATGTCAAAGAGGGAAAGAAAAGAGGGCGGACAAAAATACTCCAGTGAAAGCACTTAGTATCTAAGCCACAGAAGGTCTTAGTTACTACTTCCCCCTGCTGACACAGGACAGGGACAAGACAGATGGGAACAGTTGAGGAACTCTGTTATCTTTATAGACCTTAACTTCTCATTTAATCAAGTTCTTTTAGCTAAAAATATCTGTATACAAGTCATCTGTTTTATCCCACATCCTTAGTTATTTTTGAGAAGAAAGAGATCTTCCTACACTGCCTCATAGATAAGAAATGACTGCTGTTATGATAACTTTGAGCCAGCCTCCCTGATTCAGCAGCAGCAACAGCAAATTAGAGGCTTATATACAGCAATGAAGAGTAGAGTATGTATTTGTTGGAAGTGTTAGTGTTTAGTCAGCTTCCAAAGATTTTTTTTCCATACTATTCCAAAGCATCAATTCTCACATATAGAAAAATGCCATTGAAATGATTCAACACTTCATGCAGAACCTCAGTTGTCACATGCACTGCATTTTAGTTTTCTGTCTGGAGCTGTAGTTGTCTAAATTAGACTCCTAATTTATCCTGAGTGGGAAAGCAGTACAGCACTTGCTGGTGTTAGCTGCTTGCCTTCTACACAGGAACTCTGACATTTGGTCTCTGGAGACATTTTGCTCATGATCCATCCTTCCCAACACAACAGCTCACATCCTTGGCCTCTACTCTAGCCAACCTGTGCTGCAAAGCCTCTGGCAAGGTAACAAATCTGGCTAGGGGACATTGGAAAACCATGGGTTCCCTGCAGCTGGCTTCAGGGGAGGTCTGTGCCATACAATGGAGAGGCATGCCCAGGGAGCTGGTACCTTCCAAGGAGAATTGCAGAGACACTACAGCCAGCCTGGGAGCCATAGTAACTCGATCAGCAGAAGAGGAGAGCATAGCAGAGTTGCTTTACTGTTTTAAGAGATTGTTCTGTGGTTTTTTGGCATACCAGGATTTCTGGGCCCACAACCACTAGCTTGTGTGGGTGGCATTTACTTGATTGTCAACTTCTCCAGCTCTCAGTGGGGGGATTTTAGTCAGAGTTGTAAGTGCTATTGCTAGAAAACTTGATTAAAACTTGTTTATAAAGATTTGGATTAAGGGTCACTTCATTATTTGGGTATCATACGCCCTTGCTAGAGTCCTACACTTGAACAAAAAAATAATCCTCTGTCCTTACCCCCTGCTTCCTCAGCTGCTTTCAGCACAGCAAGTAGCCATGCACTCCCACCAGTCCAACATAATTTCCCCCTTTCCAGTTCATAAGCAGGGTCTTTAACTTCACATTTTCCCCAGTATCTCAGAGCTTACCCCAAGATCACTCATGAGCCACAAGTCTTCAGGACAAACAGAGCTTTTACTCATTTACTGTACCAAGACTGATAGTGATTAAAAAAAAAAAAAAAAAAGAGATATCAGCAGAGGGCAGGAAGTTCACTGCCTTCTGTATGTTTCTGGGGACCAACCTGCTGTTCATCTGCTTTTCCAGATATTCCAAGGAGTGAGCTGGCTTTTCCCCCTATGTTCTCTGGTTTCTTTCCATGACACTATCATGTAATGCACATTTCTTGAGATGTAAATATTTCTTTCAATTACAGCTAGAGTGCAATGAACACAATTCCTGTCATCTTTTGAATCATGATTCCAATACATCTCTGGGTTTATGTGTTTACTGGCCACATCCTGACACTTCAGAAAACAAGCCAGGACTATTGCAAATGGGGACTAATGCCACTGGCATTAATTAGTCACCTAAGAAAAGGATATAAGTGGATAAAGAGTCAGCTCTCCTGGGTCCCAAACTCACAAGAAAGATTATTCAGTGCATAATATTCAAATAACCGCAGAACACAATTACCTGTAAGATCAGAAATACTTAGCCAAGTATTTATACTTGCATGTACATGTATGTGCTTCAATATTCTTACCAGAAAGCTACAAGTCTCTTCTTTCTGACATACAAAACAAACATTAATATTCACTTCCTATTTGGGAATTCCAGATCTGTTCCTTCCAGTGGCTGCTCCCACTGCATGAATGAAGAGCTCTCTAGCCTGCTTAGCTCTCCCTGCTCCTTCCACTCACTCAGAACTGCTTGTCTGGATGCTCCCTAAGCAACCAGCTGCTGCCCAGCTCTGCACAAGTCAAGGTCATGCAGAGATCACTTCTGCCAAAACCAGCCAGCCATGACTCTCAAGAGTGACCTGCAGTCCTTGCAGCCAGAATCCCAGTTCCATCTGCACCATCTCAAATAGACTGTAGGTGTTTAAAGATACCCTGACACAGAAAAGATGAGACTAAAGTCACAAGACTCGCTAAAAGTTGCCAGAGACTAGGATTTGAAAGGACTTAGCCAATATTCCATGCAGGCATGTAATATGCACCATTGATCATCTCACTGAGGTTTTAAGCAATCCAGCTCATATTCACACAGCCTCCATTTTATAAAGTCTCTGTGTTTGTTCAGTGGTGGAAGCTAGTGACCACTGAAGAACGATTTCCACAGTCTGAGTAGTGACCTGGACAGATGCTTGCCAGGAGCCAGCCAAGAAGAAAATATTAGGCACAGAAAATTAGCAGGAACTTAAGGCCAGATGAACAGATCCAGTTTATGCATGTTTAATTTACTCAGAGATCTAACATAAGTCATTCTGCAGCTCTGGATACAGTCAAGTCCAGATATAAGTCTTTGTAAGATCAGGACTTGATATAATAAAAACTATTTTGCATCAAAAATTTCACTATATTGAGGCTGCCAAGAAGAAAAATGCATTTAAAAACTCATTCAGAATTGCTCTTTTCTAGAGCAAGTTTCAAATTACAAAGTACAGAGTCCTAGCAACCATTTCAGTGATAAATGAGCTCACAGGAAAAATAAGCTCAAACAGATTACTTCTAAATTAACTGATAGTCAATTCCTTGTAATCACGTCTGTCATCTTCACAGTGTAAACCTATATGTAGTTTCCATTGTTCATGGACAACTTTAATTCATTTTTTTCCCCTGCATCCTAAAAACTATGCCAAGGGCCATAAATTCTCACTAACTTCAAATATTGTATAAAAGCTTTATGAGCAATAAGCACTAATAGCAGTTTAAATATTCAAGCAAAACATCTAGTTAAACTGTGCTGGAGAAAGTCTGCTCAGCCACACCCTCCCAGATTTTTTACTTTTTACCCTGAATTCAATCCAGATTGCAATTAGATCTGTAATATCTTCAGTCCCGTGTGTGGTCCCATTCTAAGCAGTGAATGGGGAAGACTGGCACAGAGTGAAGAAACTGCTCATTACTGCATACTGGAAGATTTGATACTACTGAAATTGAAATTTATTCCATCAAAGTAAAAACCCAGCCTTAATGATATTGTGATTTTGTTCCACAGAGGACTCCAGAGAGCAGAGACTCACGTCTAAATGATGCTTTGGCTCAGCTCTCTGATCTTGGCTCACAGTGAAGTCAGGCTAGGAGAGAAAATTCTGCAAATTCTTGGAAGTAAAACAGTTGATGTTAATGGGAGAAGCATTTTAGAGGAGACTCCCCTTTTGCTTTTCTTCTCATTATTGTTTAACTTATTTAATATTTTGATTTTATGTGAGACAATAAATGATCTGGACTACACAAGTAGTGGGTTTACTTTTCTTTATGATAGGATTTACAGTCCACATATCTGTATAGTCTAAATATAGTCCATTTTAGCTCCTTAGACTGTAAATTTTATCAAAG